CTGTCATTTTTTGGGACTCCCAGCTCGGCTCCACACCCAAAGACCCAACGTGGGATGCAGTGGCTGCGCTCAGCCCCCAGCACCGGGCTCCCGCTGGCCCCAGTACGCTCACCTGAAACCGGCTTGTTGGAAATGTGGGGAGCTGGATGGGAACGGTTGGTGTTGATGAAATAAACACTTTTTAAAAGAAATTGTAGCTGGTGATGAGTGAGAGCTGCCCATGCCCCATATTGGGGACCCGCCATTCTCCACGAGTGGTCTCTGGGATTCGCTTACACCTCACAGACCTCTTCTTGGTGTTTTTCTTGATTCAGGCACACTGTCAGCCTTACCTGTGGTGGGAGGTATTGGCACTGGTTGAAAGGGTTGTTTTTTACACTAAGCAGACCTTTATTTCCGTGAAAAATACCATATGGAGCCTGCGGCCTCGCACGCTCCTTGGCTGGGCGATCACTTGGCAAGGTGAGCATGTCCCTACCCATAAATACAGGTGCAGCTCCTTCCCCTTCCAGAGACCTTGGACGACACCAAAGGTACGTCCCGCTCCCCTTTCCTCCCACACCTCCCTCTCCAACATCGCCTTCTCCAGCTCGGCTTAATTTTGCCAAGACACTCTGCCAGGGCTGAGCCTGGGCACAGCTCACGAGCATCACTCGGGATGGATACGATCCTCTATAGGTGCCTCTGCTTGGGAAGTTGTGTCAGCTGCTGCGTCCCCTGGTAGATTTGCAGGGCTTTGGGCAATTTTGGGCATAACCAAATGGTAGCATTCCAAATCGTGGCGTTACTGAATTGCCACGTTACCAACTGTGGGGACTGCAGCGTTAAAGATGGTAGCGTTTGCAGCCATAGCGAGGATGCAAGTGGGCAAAGGTGAGGATTTAACTAGAGCAGCTGGCCCAAAAGAAAAAGCGAGCTTGGGGACAGCAAGTTGTTCCTTGGGTCGGGCTTTGGGTGTGCCAAAAGCTGGGATGTTTGCCGTTCCTCTCAGCCCATCTTATCGGGGCTCCTGGCAGGACCAGGCACTCGGGACACCTGGGTTTGGGCAGGGCTCAGATCTCATCCGCTGGTGAAATATAACCCCAAGGAGCTGAGTGCCATGCGAAATATTTCCCAAACGCCTTTCCCCGTGGGTAGGGGCCACCGCGCTGCCTCGACGGGGGGTCTCAGGGGACTCCAGCCTGGGTGAGGATGGGGCAGGGGCAGTGCTGGGGAGCGTGGGGGACAGGATGCCCCAGGTGAGGATGCTCCAAACAGGGAAGGAGGTGGGAAGGGGTGTCGGGGGAAGGTGGATCCACCCCTTGCTCTGTCCCAGCACGGCTGCTTTAGGGTCTTTTGGGTCTCCGGCACAGACCCAGGGAGGGGTGGGAGAGGCACAGGCCAAGGGACCTTGGTGTCCCTGTCCACTGCCACCTGTCCTGGGCCGGGAGGTGTGTCCGGGCTGAGCGCGGTGAATGAGGAAGTGACTGCTCTGCGTCACCATGAAATGGCATTTGCTCCTTTGCCAGTGAATTATCTGCTCCAGCCTCGCAGGTGGTCTGGCCTCCCTCCAGGAGGGACAGGCAGGATGAGGCCCCGTGTGAGGCAGGAGTCAGATGGCTGGATGGGGGGGCACCATCCCTGGGTCCTGGTGGTTCACTGGAAACCAGTATGGCCAGTGGGAATACTCCAGTCACCCCTGTCATCTGTGCCAAATCCCCCTCCCAGCCAGGAGGGCTGAGCCCATCCCTGCCCCTCTGCACACAGGATGGCAGCCTCGAAGCTGGTGCTGTCACTGCTGGTTGCAGCTCTCCTGCTGCACGTGACCACCACGCTGAAGATCAGCGCCTTCAACATCAAGGTGTTTGGGGACAGCAAGATGTCCAACCAGACTATTGCAGACATCATCGTCTCTGTGAGTGCGGGGGGCAGAGGAGCAGTCCTGGCCACTCTCTGGCTTCTGGGATACAGCCAGCTTGGGGCAGATGGACACCAGATTTTTGTAGGCATCCATCCTTCCAAGTGTCCATCCATGCATCCACCCACCCACCAATCCAGCTGTCCACACTCCCCCTGTCCATCACCTGTGCCTCCATCCATCCATCCAACTATCTGTCCATCCATTTGTTCACCCATCCATCTGTCCATCCATTCACCCATCCATGCCTCCATTCATACATGCCTCCATCTATACCTCCATCCATCCATCTGTCCATCCGTGACTCCATCTATCCACATCTCCATCCATCCACCCATCTGCTCTTCCCCCATCACCATCTCCAACCTTGGTGGCTGGGCCATCTTCACTCTTGCCAGTCCCCACCCAAGGATGGGTGATGCTGGGGGCTGTCCAGGTTCCTCACTCAGAGTAGCCTGCAACCAAGGAGCTGCTGGGATGGTGGGTGGTCAACAGATGAGTGTTAGAGGGTGTTGTGTTGCCTCAGGGTTCTTCCAAGCCAGAGGACACCAGCAGAGGAGCTCCATTCCTGGCTCTGGGGTCCCTGCTGCCCTCCTGTTGCCAGACTGGGAGCCTTCACAGCCCAGCCCAGGCACCCATGGGTGCCCCCCATGAGCAGCTCCCGGCCAGGGATGAGCAGCTCTGAGCTTGTCCCCTCAGATCCTCTTGGAGTATGACATCACCGTGGTGCAGGAGGTCCGGGACACCGACCTGAGCGCCGTGAAGAAGCTCATGGATCAGCTCAACAGGTGACCCCAATGGCACGGGGTGGGGCGTGCCTGCAAACAGGATGCTGGGGCAGATCCCGGCCAGCATCTCGCCATGCCAGGGCACCTCCAGCTTGGCTGGGGAGACCCCAATGGGTGCTGGGGGCACTGGGAGCCTCCTCTCACCCTCTCCACATCTTGCTCCCAGTGTGTCCCTGCACCCATACAGCTTTTTGGACAGCATCCCCCTGGGTCGGAACAGCTACAAGGAGCAGTACGTCTTCATCTACAGGTAAGGGATGCTGTCAGGGTCCAGCATCCCCCGTGTCACCCACTGTCCTCCCCAGCAACCCCCAAACGGCGGTGGGTACCTTTCGGGGCCCTGGCTGTGGCAGGAGTGGTGCTGGGGTCTGCCCTGCTCTCCTTCCTCAGGTCGGACATGGTCTCTGTGCTGGGAAGCTACTACTACGATGATGGCTGCGAGTCCTGCGGGACCGATACCTTCAGCAGGGAGCCCTTCATCGTGAAGTTCTCCTCGCCCACCACGCGTGAGCAGAGCCAGCATCTGGGGCTGCCGGGACCTGGCATGGGGTCCCCTCCACTCAGGGCTGAGCCTGGAGCTGTGCCTGCCAGGCAGGGGGGTTGCTCCAGCTCAGCTCAGTGGCTCTGCCAAGGTCCTTCACTGCTGTGGGGCCTTCTCCCACTCGTAGGTGCCCAGGGGTCCTGGGTACCCACTCAGCATGGCCGGCACTGCCTGCTGTTTCCCATCATGTGCCGTCTCCCACCATCTGCCATCACCTCCCATCGCCTGCCATCTCACACCATGCATTCTCTCCAGTTGCGTGCCGTCTCACATCTCCAGCTATTTCCCATCATGTCCCACATTTTGTCACCTACTACCTCTCGTCTTGTGCCATATCCCACCATCTGCTTCCTCCAGTTGGGTGTCATCTCCCATCACATGCCATCTCCCATCATGTGCCAGCTCCCATCACACGCCATCCCCCATCACCTGCCATCCCTCATCACCAGCCATCTCCCCTCACAAGCCATCTCCCATCATGTCCCATTTCCCACTTTGTGCCTTGTTTTCTACCCTGTGTCATCACCTCCACCTCCCGAGAACCTCCCCAGGGCGCACACACTCTCCCATCACTCTCCCAGCCCCGTCTCCTTCCCAAAACCATGGTGGCTTGGAAAAACTGATGGGAAACAGGCAGCAAACCCCAAACCACACACAGAGGGACTCAGTTCCCCACTGGAAATTCCAGCCTGGAGGACAGGCAGACCACAAAAAGCCAATGCACCCTTTCCCTTCAGCAGCTTTCCCCAACCAGTAGCCGGGTCTTGGCCTAGGGTGGTCCCCTGGGGTTCCTGCTCCCTTCCTGGGTGCTGCACCCAAGTCAGGGGCTGAGGGCCACCTGTCCGGCAGAGGTGGAGGAGTTTGTGATGGTGCCCCTGCATACCACGCCCAGCAGCGCGGCGGATGAGATCGATGCGCTCTACGATGTCTACACCGACGTTGTCAACAAGTGGGCGACTAATGTAAGCAGCATCGGGGAGCTCAGCTCCTCCCCGAGGCAGCTGCGTGGGCTGGGGTATGGCCACCACACATCCCAGTGACCATCCTGGGATGGACGTGTCCCATGGGAGACCTCTTGTACCCATGAGAACCGGTGCCACCCCAGCAATGTCCATGCAGGGAGCTGTTGGGTGGCTCCACTACCATTACTGGGGGTTTGTCCCCCCATGCTGGGGAGCCCTGGGGGGGTTTCTTGCTGCCCCTTAAGATTTTAGGGAGCCCTTGCTGCCCTGTAAGGTCCGTGGGCAGGGACACAGCACGCTGCCCTGCAGAACATCCTCCTCCTGGGTGACTTCAATGCTGACTGCTCCTACGTGACCAGCGCCCAGTGGCCATCCATCCGCCTGCGCTCCCTCGACGCCTGCGAGTGGCTCATCCCCGACAGCGCCGACACCACCGTCGCCACCACCACCGACTGCGCCTACGACCGGTGGGTGCCGCGGCAGGGAGGTGGGGGCTGGCTCGAGGGGGACTGGTGGGTGCTAACACCCCCCGTGATGCCCCGGCAGCATTGTCGCCTGCGGGACTGCGCTGCGCCGAGACATCAAGCCCGGCTCTGCCACCGTCAACAACTTCCAGCAGA